CCTTCATTCACTCTTCATTCATCGATAGGCACGAGACGACGGCCGCGGTCCTCACCTGGCTCACCTACGCCCTCTCGCAGCACCCGGAGGCGCTCAGGCGTGTGCAGGACGAGATCGACACCGTGGTCGGCGACCGCTACGCCACCGTCGACGACATCAAGCGCATGCCCGAGGTGCAAAAGGTGATTGCAGAGACACTGCGCATGTGGCCCGCGCCGCCCCTCTTCATCCGGTGTGCCACCGAGGCGCACCAGTGGCCCGCCGCTCCGCTGCATCTCCCCATCTCTCCCCAGATCTCCCCAAATCTCCCCATAGGCGGACCAGTGGCCCGAGGGTGGAACGGGCGTCGAGGGCGGCTTCGCGCTCGCTCGCGCGAACGACCTCTTCATCTCGACGTACAACATGGGCCGCTCGCCCCAGCTGTGGGAGGAGCCGGACGTCTTCGACCCGCAGCGGTGGGACCGGCCGTTCGACAACCCGAACGTCAAGGGGTGGGCGGGCTACGACCCCGCCAAGCGCACCGGCGTCGACACCTAGACGCGGAACACGTAGTCTTGTCTCCCGACTAGCGCTCGAGAGGACACGGACTCCGCTGTGTTCGCAGCCCCTCGTATCCACGCGGTGCTCTAAGAGCACTGCACAACACCCTCTTCCCGCCCTGATGTCGGCGTCTTCACGCGTCAGGCTTCGACCCCAAGACGGGCAAGATGAAGCCCGAGGGAGGGCTGTGGGTCGCAAACCTCGAGATCGCGTCTGACCACGCCATGATCCCCTTCGGCGCGGGGGAGCGCAAGTGCGTGGGCGACCAGTTCGCGCTCCTCGAGGCGGCGGTCTCGGTCGTCATGCTGCTGCGCCGCTTCGAGTTTGATCTCGAGATGCCCGACGGGCCGGTGAACCCCGCGAAGCTCGACCCAGACAACCCGGACAAGTCGATCGGCACGGTCGGCATGGTCTCGGCGGCGACCATACACACCGCCACCGGCCTCTTCTGCCGCGTCAAGGAGCGCTTCCCGGGCAGGACGGACTTGCCGCCGCGGCAAGACCCCAACCTCCAGGCGCCCGAGCCGGAGGGGCCTGCCTTGGGGGAGCCCGCGCTCGTACCGTAGATTAGAGTGTCCCCCCTGCATTGTGTGTGCGCGGCCCCTCCGACACCCGAGTCACTCACACCTCTGGAGAGTGATTCTCGACAGCCTGTAGCCCGCGCGCGGCGCTCGAGGCTACACGCGCGCGCACTGCACGGAGCGCTTGTCGTGGCCTCGCTTCCCAGGCATCTGCAGGTCTGCGCATGTACCCCCCCCACACACACACCTCCGCCCTTGCGCGCGGCTGAGTCGGGGTCTCGCGGCGCCATTTTGTTGTACTGTGAGCGAGGTGTTTTTTCTGTGCCTCCTCAGTCTGTGGTAGAGAAAAGAGAGGTACCGCCCGCGCGTGCGGGCGTGGCCAAGCCGCCCAAGCTCTTTATAGATACCAGGCTAGTTCCATTTCACTCTGACACGCGCTAATCTTGAAAACGTCCAACGGAGCTCCGTGTTGCTCCCAGCGCCCTCCCCCGCGCTTCCTGCGGCCATGGCCGATGATACTAGTATGAGAGGTCATCTGGCTACCGCGAGCGCGACTCAACTCGCCGACGTTGTCCGATGATTGTGCCTCAAAGTCAGCCTCCGGAGGCTATCGTGGGGTCGAGCCGGCAGTAGCCGTGACATGTGGTTCCACCACCCCTCGTATGCTTTGCCTCTGACCGCCACCGTTCCCAGGCTGCCTAATGGGATGGAAAGGAAGGCTCGGCGAGCGTATAGAAGCGTGCTCGACCTCGTCGTGGCAACCTGCACGGCAGCGCTGGCGGGCGCGATGAGCGTCGTGCCACCTGACCCGAGACGGGTCGCAGGCGTCGTACCGAGCGCGTCGAGACCGTGTCCTGATGTGATCTGCACGGGTGAGTCACGTCGGCGTCAAAGGAGCGACGTGCGACCTGTCAGAGCTTGATCTCCGATCTCAGCGGCGTCGAGTCGTCTCCGGCGCGCGACAAAGGTACATCCCCAGGACGCGCAGAGGCAGCTGCGACCCCGCCGAGT